TATTATTATATTACTAAAATACAGAGCTTTGTTATTCTATTCTTACATCGCTGTACTCTGTCCATGCCGCTATGAACATGGGCCTGAGGTGTGCTGTGTGTTTTTACCACCAGCATATATTCTTAGTCGTGTGCTAAATAAAATAGCTTGATTTAAGATTTGGTTTAAAGGGGAAGAGATGAGGGAAAAATTATTCATAAATGTTCTAGTCTTTTATTTTCATAACATGAAATAGTTTTATATCATTTCACAGTGTTTTACTGCATAAAGAAGCAGTTCATACTTGTCTGTGCATTGGTATAGGAAACACTTTTTTTGGACAAAGGCTGGAAAAGTTGAAGTGTTTTCCTTTTATTTTTTAGGGCTTTTTATACAGAACTGCTCTTCCCAGTTCAACCATACTCATTTCAAAGTAGTGGTTGAATCACAAAAGTGGAAGTGTTTAAGATGTTCAGCATGTGAGGCAGTATTATAGCTTGTCTCTCAATGTTAACTGTGTGATAGCAAAAAAGTATTATCTGTTCTTTTTCTATAGAAGCATATTAGGAAAAGAATCTTTTTCCTGTGTCGTCCAGAATCTTGGAGATCAATATGCTGTATTAACAGGCATCCTAGTTTCTGAAGACATTGTGGTTCTTTTTACTATATCCTATCTTAAACAGTTTCGAAGGTGTTTCTTTGGGATATTACAGTTACAGAAAGTTTGGAAGCTACTCCTGGCATTGAATTCCACATCATTCTGTGTGCATTATTCTCTTGACATACCCTCAAGCTGTGATGTTTAGTGTGAGTGAGCAACTCAGCTAGATGACTTTATTCATTCTGTGTACTGTAATTCCTTCTGAATTGCCCAAGAGTGGAGAGTTGTTGGCAGCTATATTGAAAGAATAATGATATTACTTTCCCAAAAATAGAATTCTTTAGCTCTATCATTACTTTATATACAGTCTTCTTGGATTCTCAGGTCTAAGGAGCTTTGAGTTTGTGGAAAATAAAAAACTGAATGCACAAGCACAATCTGTTAGGGGAATTTCTGAATGAAGCGGTTCTTTTGGAGGTACTTGTTTGTCAAAAGAACTTCTGTAGGGATGCACTAGTTTCAATGAAAATTCAGTCACCATCTATGCGTGTTTCAGACTGCTGGTCAAATGTAAAGATCCCCATGTAATAAGTCTGTGTTTACAGTATTTCCTGCAAGGCAGAAGACATAACTCCCACAGTCAGTCTGTTTGATTTAGCTATGTCTTCTCTATTCCAGCCTTCTACATTGCAGGGAAGTCCTTAATATTCCTCATGAATGGCCCTACCCCCCTCCATATTTAATTACTGTGGGCAGATGACTTTCAACCTCTTCTCAGATGTTCTTCTCTTTAAAATAATTATTCATTTTAGGAAATAGGCCTGTCGTATTTAAGAATAATAGTGCTTTGTCACATCTGTCAATCACTTCTGGAATATTAAGATAGGAAAGATTGCTGCCCAAGTACTGATTCCAGTATTTTTTAGGTATACTACTTCCAAAACAGTGGAATAAAATTGATTTATTGATACCTATAGTTGATTATTTAAAAAGGCGTTCCAGCTATTTCTGGTATTTTTGTTCTCTCAATTTTGTAACCAAAATATCAAGAAGATAAGTACAAAATTTAATTTTGGAGTTCCTCGTTAATACAGGGTTCCATACACCCACTGGTCTTTCTCTCATGAAAAGACAATTGATAATCACCCAAAAATGTTGTAAATTCAGTGAGTTGTAAATTCTGTATTAGCTGCTAATATTTTTACTTGGATTTCTATAATGCTGTGAAAATTATATGAAGTTGCAGAATAAAGTGATGCTATTAGGATTTGGTTGGTGATGGTTCAAAGCTGAGATGCTTTCAAACTCTTGGTGTCTCCTAGCTCATATTACTAAGTATACTTCAGATTATTACATGATGTGATAAACTCTGCCTTCTTACTGTAGGCTTCATGTATTTCTAATGCTCACATAGATTTTTTTTTTTTTTTTTTGAGAATTGGCATTCAGAAATTGAAACTCAAATTTTAACAAGCTAGGTCTTTGAAGGCCTTCATTTGCCTCACAACAAATGTATGTAGTTCTTCAGAAAATCAGTTCCATTTCCTAAGTGGTACTTTTTTTTTTTTTAAATTGTCTTCAATGTGATCTTGAAAAAACAGCATGACAGAATACTTTAAAGAGATATTTGCAAAAATGGGCAAATATTTACCAAAGCCTTGGCACAGAAATACACTTGCCAAAGCCTAATTACATGTTATCTTTCCCTTGTCTTGTGTTTTTCTAATCCTTTTCTGCATGTTCTGTTGCATGTGTTTATTATTGTAAATGCTAGGGATTTCTGTTTTTAATTTGGCTGCTCTTCATTTTTTTAGCAATGCGACTATAAATCTCTATTTTGAAATGTTTTAAATAATTGCAGTAAAATATCCATGATTCTTAAAAACCCTTCTTGTACTTTTCAGTAATTTTATTGCCATGCATGGAGTGAGATTTTTATGTTTAGCCACAACCAGAGTTGTATGTGGCTAAATAAGATTTATGAGCTTTCTCTATTATCATCATTTAAACTTTAATTGAGCACCATTTTACTCTGCCTTTCTGGAGAATGACAAGTAACAGGTTGTAGTTTTGACTGTTTTGCCCACTACAGGTGACCAACTGAGTGCCATACTGAATTCCATTCAGTCACGGCCAAATCTCCCAGCTCCTTCCATCTTTGATCAAGCTGCAAAACCTCCCTCTTCCCTAGTCCACAGTCCATTTGTGTTCGGACAGCCCCTTTCCTTCCAGCAGCCTCAGCCACAGCTTCAGAGTAAGTTTGTCAGCCTTACCTGCCTCATCAGTCCATTTCTGCAGCTTTGACATTGCTCTTCTCAGTTGCTTACCAGCTACTAATCATCCCTCAGTGCACCTTTCTGGTTTGGTTTGGTTTTGTTAAGTTTTTCATGATTCAGAAGCATGTGAGGTAATGCTCCTAAAGAAGTATACTTGTTCAACTTTAATTTCTGTATTGACCATATTTTGCTTTTGTATGTGTTCTGCAGTGTAGATAAGTCATGAAAGTGCATTTCCAATACTGTATGCAACTCTGGGTTTATAATTAAGGTAAATATTTTATATGGTACAAAATGTTGATAATTCTTTTAACATCAAAAATGGACTCCAGTAAATTCATAGTTATTAAATTTTCTTGCCTCCTAAATTCCTTTTTTTTGTCATCACTCATAACTTTAGGGATGTAGCTGGGACAGTAGGAACAACTTGGCAGTACTCATAAGAAGGAGTTTGATTGTCTTCTGTTGGGTGCTTATAGGATTGGCATGGACATGAAAGTTTGCACCTAGAGGTGAATAGCAGTTAACCTGATTACTGATGGGAGGACAGGAAACTGTTTAGTTTTTGATTGATGAAAAATAAAAGCCCAGCATTCATGGTGAATAGCAGATATTGCAGGAAATTCTTCCTTATATATAGAACAGGTATAGCATGGGTCACAGGAATACTAGTCTTCTCCTGTCTGCCATAAACTGTCCTTCGGAAGTGCCTCAGTTCCTTCTTGTGAGACCCTGTCAGTCAGTTTAGTCTCTGTCTGTGCAGTCCTGGATCTATCCAGCTCAGCTTATTAAAGTGACAGTGACATGCTTCGTGTGAGAACTAAATTAAAATCTCGAATTCACTTTTATAAAGACTATCAGAAATATTCTGACAGTGATCTTCTGTACTTATGCTGGACTTAAATAAATGTCCTGAAAGCAGAATATTCCAAAACCTGCTCAGATAAAACAGCTGATTGCCAGCGACAACGGCGCACCATCATTGAGAATTTGTGAATTGTATATTCTTTCCCATCACTTTTAGTTTTCTTCTCTTGTTCAGAGTAGTAAGTCAGAGTTTCTTATTCAACTCCGCATCAAAAATAACCCTGATTGTCTTATTTCAAACTTCAGATGATTCGTCCTTTAGCATTTAGATCTGTATTATATGAAAAGCAAAGCTGTCAACATCTTTATTGGCTGCTAAACGAGATCTTGCTCAATAGATTTGCCTGTCCAACAGATGTAGATAAACTGTATTCAGTAAGCTACATCCATGGTTCATGTTTTAATAAGGATCCCTGATTCAAAAGGAAGCCTTTTCTGTCATATAGGGGGAGCACTGGTAGTATACTAAATAAAGTAATAATGAAACTGGAAAAAATTTTCACGTTTGTGTCCGATTTGGGATCTTAGTATAAGATCTCAACGGATAGGATTATTTGCCCTTCCAGCAGGGCAAAAATCATCAACCAGAACTGGTATATTGTTGCACTAACTGTGATTTGATACAAGGACTTTCTTCCAAACAGTTTATTATCTAATTTAAGATTTGATGCAAATAATGTAAATTATGCATAAAGGAGAGAAATACTAACTTTTTTGTTTTCACTGTCAAAACTTAAGAATTATATGGGGGAAAATTTCCTGTTCGAACTTCCTTAGTCTTTTGCAAATTTGTTAATCCGTTTACAAGTTCATCCAAATTCAGAATATTGTCAGGGAGGCCTGTAAGACTATTTTCATGTACTTGTTCATTTAATAGTCAAGGAAATTATCAGAGATACTTGAAACTTAAATAAGACTCTCTAGATCAAACATTTTATTTTAAGCAGTTATTCTGCTACTACTGTGTTTTTTTGAAACTTTACATATTAGAAAGTAATGGATTAATTTGCAAAGTAAGATTAACTAGAATAGCAAGGCATATATGCAATAAAAATATTTAGACAGAAAAGTTCTATTTAGAGTCAAATTCTGCTGTGTGGTTGTTAATCTGTGTTCAACACTGATGCAGCTGTAATAGAACTGTAACAGAAGCTCTTAAGTGTGCAATTTTCATTCATTATTTCCAAAGCACTGTATAGCCTCCTGTTAGCAAACATAGTTAAAAGTTAAATCCATTAAACAACATATCCCAAGGCTCCATATCAAGTCACATGGATTTTTGCCCTAGACATGCTTAGTTTTAGTTTCAAATTATGTGCTCTGTCCTTAAGTGCTTCCTGCGGTAAAGTTAGATCTAAAAATTAAAACAAATGTTTATAGTCAATAACTGCTATATTTAAGGGACTAACCATAGTCTCACAGTTGAAAGAAGTTGTGCCAGCCTAGATTTCTGTGGCTGCAGAGGTTATGCACTAAATACTGGGTTTGATTGAAAGCCTGCTGAAATAGTTTAGTCTACCACTTACATTTTCTGTTATTCCTCAGATATCTGTCCTCCTGGGGAGAAATTTTATTTGGAAGCATGATTCTGAGGAAAGTTAGGATCATGCTGAATGTCCTCTATAATTATTTCCTTAACTTAGGTTTTTATAATATGAAGAAAAAATTTGGTCTGATTATAAAACGTACTCTGTGCCAAGTGACAGATTGTAGTTTATCTTTAGAAGCGTTTGTAGCTAGCTGTTCTTTCTGAGGAATGGTTTCTGTGCTTGGGGTTTGGTTTGGTTTCCAAATACATTTGGAGAAGAGGGAAAGGGCTTGTCACAACCTTTTATCTTCTGATACAGTGTCTAGGGGCGGGGGTTTGTGGAAATAGTACAGTTTTGGACAGCCGCTTCCTCAGATACAATGCTTGAAAAAATGAGAAGCGTCTCTTACTCTTTTCACATCATAGGTAGGTAAACTAACAAGTCCTGCGTATTTTGTCAAAAAATTTGTTACAGGAGGGATATTATAAAAAAGAAGTGGGAACTGGGTTTTGTGTTACTTGCTAGAACTCTGTGAAGGGCTGATTGTTCTGTCCTACTTAATTCCTTTGCTAATTTTCACACATGGTCACACAAGGGAAAAAAGCTGAGAGATTGTTTTCTTTTTCATGGGGACAGACAAAATTAAGATGCTCTTGTCATGTATTTTAGTTCCTTGTCAGTCTTCTATGCAGCTAAAAGTCCAAAAAAGCTAGAAGAGATGGCATAACCTACCTGGAGTTCAGGAACAGCTGTATTGACTTGGAAAAAAAATACTTGCTAAGATTCCAGGAAGGACACAAGTTTATATATGTTTCTTCCTTGATTATTTCAACAAAACAGTCTTGTAATTACTCCAGCCTGAGTATGCTTTTTTTTTTTTGTGATCATCAGTAACAGATTTGCTCTGGACTGCAACGTCCCATAGCTGCAAGATTATTACTGGTTGCTTGATTAAGTTGTTGCTGAACTTGTGAAGAATTACTTGTTGTGAAGAGCACAGAAGACTCACATTTCTGCTTGGATTCTGAGTATAGGTGAAGCGTGGAAACCTAGAGGGTCAAGGAAGATCTTGTTTCTCAACCTTCAGTAACGTGTGCTGGGTCATAAAACTCCTTAGACAAGTCAGGGAGGCAGGATCTTGCTATGCTGTCCTGCATTGGTTATCAAAATTTCACAACTGGCTGTTGAACTCTGAACTTGGGGAGGGAAGTTTGAGACCTTGCAGTCACCAACATGAGACCTTTCTGCCACGTTTCCTCACATCTGAGTTGCTATTGCAAATGAAGAAGAGATTTGTAGGCTGAAGAGGCTTTGGACCCCCCTTGTTAGCCTCATTTGTCACATTCTCCCTCTTCCACTGCAGTCCTGGCAGCTCACTGAGCAGCTGCACAGCACAGCTACTGCTTCCTGACGCACCTCGGTCCAGGCAGAAGCTGCAGTGCTGAGCTGCTGTTCAGTACGCTCGCAGTGTCTTGTCGGGCTGCTTCCTTGCCAATCCATGCTGCGGAGCTGCAATCCAGCACATGGTCCTACAGTGTATGATCAGCCCCTGCCATTCATGTCAGGAGTTCCTTGTCCCTTTAGTAATGTGCCACCGCCTCCTTTTCCATTTTGTTCCTTTCCTTTCTAGGTGCTAGTTACAGAGCATTTAGAACCACTGGCTTTGCCTGTGGTGCTTGTATCTGCATTTCCTAAACTGGCGGGGGGGCACAAAAGACCAGCATACATACAGAGCACATAACCCTTCTCGGTAGTGTTTCGGTAAAATAAAGGGAGAGAATACTTTTAACCAAGCACACTGATCTCTTCCATATCATGCTGAAATGACTTAATTGTCATGTGAAGCAGCCAGAGAGTATTGGTTTAACTGTTTGTTCAGATGCTGCGTATTGCCAAAGCATCATTCCTGAAACTTGAGCTAATAAGTTAAACAGTTTAATACCTTAGGCTTTACAGATCTGATAATCAAAGATATGTATGAAGCATACATTTGTCCAGGTCAATCCAAAACCATCCCTGGTGGACTGGTATGTTAATATTTGGAGGAAGAGCATAAATTTTAGAAAGAAAGCTTATCACATCTTCAAAAATTGTAGTTACAAATTACAAAATTATAGAATCATTTTCATCTACCCTTCTAGCACAGGAATCCTTCTTTCAATTAATAAACCTAAGTGGCTCAAGTGTTAGTGCTCCAAACCCTACCTTTGGGTAATGAACATTGCTACTGTTTTTCTAATGATACTGCATTTCAGCTTTTGCTTTCATTCACTTACTCACTCCCGTACTGTAACAGTATCTAATACTTTTCTCCCTTTTTAATATTTAATATTCAAACATTTGTTGACTTCAGTATATCCTTTTACTTACAAAAAAAAAAAAAAAAAAAAGAGTCCTTGTCCAACTGTCACTATGGCATTTGGCATTTTCAGGATATGAAAAATGATACATTGATTGCAGTGCTTGAGGAAATTCAGCTAACAGCCATATTGTAGCTTCCATGTCAGTAACAGCGAGCGAAAGAGGAATGCATTCTTTTTGAAGAGGCATCCATTGCTTAGGCAAAAGGGCAAAAGCAGGTTAGTGCTTTCCTTCATCATCATGCAGAAAAGCAGTGGCATTTTGGAAGAAACTTTAACTTATCTCCACTCTCCAGAGACATTTTGCCAGTCTGGTTTAGAGTTTAAAAAAGACCAATGTGGACTAGTTGGTGGTATGTCATGCCTCCTGGACTGGCTTACCACTGTCTCCTCAGAGGAAGTAGGCATGGCTATTACAGAACTTGAACTGCCTCTTATGTCTCCGTATTGCATAGCTTTTCAAGCTAGAGCTATTTCCACTTTGAAGGAAAGATTGTGACTGGAGATAAGCTTTCACATTCAAGTGTGATGTGAGGCAGAGCTTGCTTGCCTGTCTTTGAAGTCTTTCTAATCTTTGGAGGATGATTAAAAAAGCAGGAATCCTGACCAAAAAGCTGGTCCCTGTGACTGACAACTTATCCTGGATAGACATACATTGTTTGCCAAGGCAGCAAGGAGATTGTATGGGAAGCTCCCTCTCTTCAACCCACAGTCCTCTTTAAATGATTGAGAAACAGGACAGTGTTCAACATAAGCTAGATTACAACATTATAAAATGTAAGTATTCTCAGACATAGAATGAAGTGAAAATGTGCATAAATGAACTTGGGTTTAGTAAAGACATTCATTTATTTATTTCTAGACTGGAATGCTCATATATCAAATTGACATTTTTAGGCTTGTATTTACAGAATTGTTCCTCCACTGCTACTTTGTGTTCCTAATGTGTTTTTCTGCATTTTGCCTTTAAAAATTGGTGGAATGACATCCTGCTACTCATAAGTAATATAGTTAGTATTGGATCTCTCCAAAGCATTTGTAGGCATCCAAGTAGGTAATACTGTTCTTAAATTTATGCTAAAACTGGACTGAGAAAATAGAGATTATTTTCTTGTTTTAAAGAATGAAATTCTTACTTCAAGCATGTGTGAACACCTTTTCATTGTAGAGTCTACAGACTCCTTCTCATTGTTTAAGATAGGGTTCTTAATATATTTATGCGTACAAGTTAGTAAATGTAGTACCAGACAAAAAGATGTCTTAAGCAGTGCAGGAATTTAAATCACTTATTTTCAATAGACTCATCATCTTCCATTTGTACAAAAGGGTCTCTCTAAAAACAGAGTATCTTCTAACATACACAATCTCTTTAAAAGTATTAATGCCACAAGAATTATACTTATTTTTTCTAAAGGAAGGAATACGAATTGGAGTTAGAATTACAAACAACGTTGTAGGAAAGTAAAATGATAGACTAGAAACTAAAAGTCCCTACTGTTACCTGACTCCAAATTTCATTTGGTGTCAGTAGACTCCATAATGAAATTATCTTGGATTATATCAGAATTTAACTTTTTTTTCTAAAGGCAGACGTATTTTTAAGGTTTGATTCAGATTTGTTTTCATGTCTGTACTGTCTGATAGAAACTCTTCTACTGCTAGTTATATCTGTTGATGGTATTGAGAAACTAAAGTTCACATTACATACATCAAGTTTTTCAAAATATTACATTGTTGAGGTGCATTCAGATTTGAAAACAGATAGTTTTGATGGGTTTAAAATATTTTTCTTCATTCTTTCCAGTGATTAGTGAGACATTCCAACACTAACATCTAGGTGTTCTCTAATTTTCTGAAAAGAATGTGAGAATTGGTCATCTAGAAGGCCATATTGCCATTTTGAATAATTAATCTCTGAATTTACAGATTAAAAATCATATTTAAAACCAGAGTTCAGTTGAAAACTAGATACTGTTTTTATAATAAACCATCTTATTGGCTAGTCTTCACAGATTACATTTTTTAGATCCTAGAAACTAATACTGAAATCCCAGAAGGTCTTTTATTCTTTTAAAATTTAGATCAGGGAACACATCTTGAAGTAACTGTTTCTCATTTAAAACTAAGGTAGGAGTCTAAACAATGAATTCAGGATACTTAACAAAGGAGATGCATATCATGTTAAATGCTTGGTTTTATCTTTACTGCTTTTTCCATTGAATCTGTGCTGCTTCTGTGCAACTGTTTTCCACTGTAGAAACTCCATCCTGCTGCCTTGCTTCTCGTGAGCGTATTTACAAAACTAGTGATGTAGCTGGGCCTGCCTCTGCTATTTCATCTCTCTCTCACAAACTGAAGGGTGGGTATGCATGCCAACATAGCAAGGTTATTCAGATTTTACATTCAAAATGGTTTTTTTCCTCCTTCCATTCATTTTCATTTCATTCGCTTAATCAAATGCTGTTTCAAAAGTAAACATTCAAGTTTGGTATTTGTTGGGAGCTCGTTTGATATAACTATTCCGTGTTGCCTTCCTGAGTTGCAGCAACCTCATGATATGTGATCTAGCTATCTCTTACTGCTTTGTAAACAGAAAGGTGACAATCTAATGTAGTAACACCTGTTTTTGAAAACAGTAGGCAATGGAAATATGGAAGAAGAAAAGGGAAAACATATATGGTGGTTTTTGTTTGTTTGCAGATAAAGCAGTTTACTACATGATTATGCAGGTTTTTGTTTTGGGGACTTTTTATTTGTGCTGATAGCATAGAATGCTAATTAGGATTATTTACCTGTATATGTGCAAATCCAAACCTTTGTTTTTAAAAACATAAAATATTTTTTATTGCTGAAAGCTGCTGTTAAGCTATGCCTTTCATAACCAGTTTTGTTCTAGAATGTTTTCTTGCTTGATATTCACTAGTCATGCATGTACTTTGAATTTGATACATTGCTGAATGGTTTATGGTGTTTTATGTCCTCTAAGACGACTATTGTTGTCTTTTCACTATTTTTTCCTTTATGAGGAATTCTGTCAAAGGTTCTATCTAGAGTATTTTCTCATCTGCCAAACCTTAAATTCATCTTTTTATTTGTTTGTTTCTGGGAAAAGTGTGTATAAAATAATAATAATTTACACTGTTGAATTCATATATCACAAAGTAGACATCTCAAAACAGCTCATCAGTAGAACTCATGAATAACTGAGCTGGCATGAACAAAATGCTTGGACTGATATTTAAGAAACTTTTTTTTTTTCTTTCAGCAAGAACAATCATATTATAAGCCATAAGGTACCATGCTATTTCTTCCCTTCCTCTTCCCACTCCCCGCCCCCAGCCCTACCCATCCCCACTCCCCCCACCCCCAAAAACATTATAGAACTCATACGAAAAAAGAATAAAGACAGACGGGACTCTCAGAATTTATTACGATGATGTTTGAGATCTTCTCATTATATTATATTGTTTACATTTGGCATATTGTTCCTGAATATAGACAAGATATTTCTTCTTTGCCTGGAGAAGTATGAACTCCTACCATGTCCTGGGAAGCCAGGAGAGTACCCTAACCTTCAAGCTTGTTAAATATTCTAATATAGGTATCCTTCACTTTTTCCTGTTGCTGTTTGTTTTATTATAAGCTCCTTAAATATGGAGGTAGCAAAATAAGAATTCTTCTGTAACCTGAGGAAACATCTGGGTCGCTAGACTTTGCTCCAAAAAATACGTTTGTTTTTTTATTGTGAGAGGTAACAGTAGAAAAAAAATGAGATCACTCCATGCTTCTATATATTTTCTTGCACAAGGATAAGGCTTCATGGTTGGGAACTGGAAGAACTTGGTTCAGATCCTATAATGCAGAAGGAAGTAAACACAGATTTACCACCTTCTAAGTAAATGCTGAAGGTACTGGATAAAAGATGACTGCCTGTCCTCTCTGTTCCCATTAGAAGTCAAGGTCCAAATGTGCAAATATTCTCTGCTTAATTGAAACTTTATTTTTTTGACAAATAGTTGTTTCCCCAAAAAATTACCCAGACCAGTGGAAATAACCTTTTAGTGTCTAGAAAAGTAAATAATCCCAAGTACTGTGGCCTGACGCTACACGCCTTAAAAGAGAAACTTCTTCATGTTTAACTAATGAAAACCCATTCAAATCAGAACGACTTACCTATGCATTCAAGACTTTGCAGTGCAGTGCTTTGTGGAGAGACAGTTATATTTAATTCACGATTGCTGCATTGCTTGCCAGCAACTTCAACATTGCATGTCTTAATCTTCAAAGTACAGTTCTTCAAGAGAGACTGTGTTCACAGAATTATTAGAAGCAGATTGCTTAATATACTTATTTGCATATACTTATTTTGCATGTATGTATAGTGCTGCCCATCGTTTTCATAGTCCTGTGGATTAATACATGTATGAAGTCAATGTGCATAGGAATAATAAATTACTGCATCAAAATAAAAGGACATCATTTACCAGAGTTGATGGTTTAGCTTAGTGGTTGAAAGAGGTGTTTTGTTTTCTGGTATGGGGTTTTTTGGTTTGGGGGTTTTTTTTTGGTAGGTTGTGTTCTGGTAGCAGAACATTGATAGTTTGTGGTCTTAAAAAGGTGGATACCTCAGATTATAAATGTGAATGATTTTAAGCATGTTTGTAAGCCTCTTACCCAATTTGCCTTATAGCTGTATTTACTTCTTACATATTCTGACTTTTGAGCATTAAAGAAAATAAGTCTGGTAATACATTTGATCTTTCTGCAAGTCTCATTGCAGTCAGGCTGACACACATAGAGTTAATAAATAATCCTTGGTTTCTGTTGCAGCTGTGGTAAACTTAGTTAACTCCTGGCATTTTACCTAAGGATGTAAATTGTGCTTCTTTTACTAGTGTTTTGTGGAAATAGTGAACTGAGCCTTTTGATACCTCCATAGTAATGCTTCCTCTGTAAATATTTCCCAACACTTGTTTGTATGTATCTTTGGGAGAAGAATGTATTGAAAGTATTCTAGGGGAAAAAAATTCCCTTGGTATTTCCTTTCATTTTGATGTGAACAGAAGCAGTATTTGAATTTTATCTTGTGTTCAGATCTTTAATCCTTATTTTGTATTACTAGAGATATCACTGTCAAAACCTAATAATTTAATTATAAAATATACTAAACAGGTGACCGAATGAATTTCACAGGAGCTGCTAGACCGATTTCTCCAGCAGGAAAATCAGACATGTCATCAAAACATAGAGCTGACTGCAGGTCACCCAAGCTTGATGTGCGAATGAATAGAGCTGCTGCTGACCAGAAGAAACCCAGGAATACAGAAGGCTTATCTGCCAGTGAGTCTCTTATGCTGAAATCAGATGCCGCAAAATTGCGGTCAGACTCTCACAGCAGGTCTTTGTCTCCAAATCATAACACTTTGCAAACACTAAAAACCGATGGAAGAACAACTACCGGTCTGAGAGCTGAATCTCCAGGGCCAGGAACCCGGTCGTCTTCTCCAAAGACAAAGACACTTACAGCTGTTAGATCTGGTGCTAGTTCTCCACGATCCTCATCACCCCATGACAAAACTCTACCTCAGAAAGCTTCATCCCCTGTAAAAACAAAGCTTGATCCTCCTCGAGAACGCTCCAAATCGGATTCTTACACATTAGATCCAGACACCCTTCGCAAAAAGAAAGTACCACTAACAGAACCCTTAAGGGGGAGATCCACTTCACCCAAACCCAAAATTATTGCAAAAGATGGAAAACCTGTTACAGAAACTGAAAATAGAGCTCCTTCCCCTCATGTCGTACAAGAAAATCTTCACAGTGAGGTTGTTGAAGTATGTACTTCAAGTACTTTAAAGACTAACAGCATTACAGATAGCACCTGTGAAGACAACACAGAATTCAGAAGTCTGGACGATGGTTCTAATAAAGTTCATTTCAGCATAGGAAAAGCACCACTGAAAGATGAGCAAGACATGAGAGCATCTCCAAAAGTGAGCCGTAAATGTGCTGGTAGGCACACAAGACCCAAAAAGGAAAAATCCAGCTTTCTTTTCAAAGGAGATGGCTCCAAACCTGTAGAGCCTGCCAAGCAAGCGATGTCACCTTCCGTTGCAGAATGTGCTAGAGCTGTGTTTGCTGCATTTCTTTGGCATGAAGGAATAGTTCATGATGCTATGGCTTGTTCATCTTTTTTGAAGTTTAATCCAGAACTGTCCAAAGAGCATGCACCAATACGAAGCAGTCTTACTCAACAACCTGCAGAGGAAAAAGAAACCAAGTTGAAAAATAGACATTCATTGGAAATATCATCTGCTCTTAACATGTTCAACATCTCACCTCATGGACCAGATATATCTAAAATGGGTAGCATCAATAAAAACAAAGTCCTCTCAATGTTAAAAGAACCACCTCTGCATGAAAAGTGTGAGGATGGAAAAACTGAAACTACCTCCTTTGAAACATCCAGTCATCACACGATGAAATCCAAGTCTCCTCTTCCGTTAACACTGCAGCACTTGGTAGCTTTCTGGGAAGATATTTCTTTAGCAACTATTAAAGCAGCTTCCCAAAACATGATTTTTCCAAGTCCTGGTTCTTGTGCAGTGTTAAAGAAGAAGGAAAGTGACAAAGATAACAAGAAAACCAAAAAAGAGAAAAAGAAAAAAGAAAAGGTTGAGACTAGGCCAAGGGGGAATCTTTTTGGTGAGATGGCTCAGCTTGCCGTGGGAGGACCTGAAAAAGACACCATCTGTGAGTTGTGTGGGGAATCCCATCCATATCCAGTGACTTACCACATGAGACAAGCTCATCCAGGTAAGATTACATATTTTTTAAATTCCTGTGTCCATCTGTAAAATATATTGCGCACACGCATTTTGGTATTAGTTACTGTTACAAAAATATGTCAGGCTGTCTTGTTGAACCATTTAATGCAGTTCACCATATAAGCTAAATTAAAACTTACTTACAAAATATTTACAAGCTTGTGTAAGTAGATTTAAGTAGTTATGGATCTGAGCTTTCAAAGACGCTGAAGAAAGTTGTTTGAAACAAGGCCAAAACTGAGCTGACTTACAGTAGCTCTTCAGAAACATGCCATTTGTTGCACTTTAGAACTTGAAACTGCTGAGAAAATTGGAAATAAAATTAAAACTATGAGATTGGTTAATTAGAGCTTCTATGTTGCCCAAAGTTTTCTATTACTATTCCACTGTGAATGGTAGAGAACTTTTATTTATCTGCTGTATCAGCACTGGGTATCAGTGACTAATTTTTTTGGTTTCAAATGTATCCTTAAAAAAAAAAAAAATTCCAGTTCGAGTCTCTAGACAACTTGTATTGTAAAACACAACCCAAGTCTGCTATTTTGTCTCTTTATATGGGTCCCTGAATTTTTTCAGGAGTTTGTTTAATTTTAGGAAAATGAGTTAAATCAGCAGTAGCTAGGCATTATCTTAGCTAGTCGACTAAGTTCAAAAGATACATAAGTTGTGTTTTCTTTAGAAAAGGGATCACTAATAGAAGGTATTAGCTACAGTATAGCTAGTAATAAGTAGCCTTGTTAGAGAGAAAATGATTTCTGTGTTTTCTAGCTTGTAACCATAACTAATTACTTTGCTAGTTAGTGAAGTTCAGGCTGATGTTGTATGCACTCATTTTAGTACTGTATGCGAAGTTAAAGCAAAGTTAAGGAGCTGCTTTATTCATCAGTTATCAATGCCCTGAATCCTTCTGAGAAACAGTAATCAGCAAAAGGATGCACTTCATTCCCTTTTAAGCTTTGTTAGACGGGGTAGGTTTTTTGTTCGTTAAATTATAGATAATGTTGGCTAACACATAATACTGACCTTACCATGACTTAGCTGTCTGAATAGGGAGCTGTTGATGCGTTGGACAAGTTCATAATAAAAACTTGAAAACTACAGTGCACTTGGATTCTTTGGATACTGCTGGGACACATGGACATGCACCTTGTTTTTTAATCAGTTCAGAGATACAGAAAAGGAGAAAATTAGGCCAGGAAAAGACAAGTGTCTTCCCCCTCTCCATCCCTCTTTTACAGTAATAAATAATATAGTAACAGCCCTTCTTTTGAAATAACTTTTTTCATCTTTTTCCCTGATGTAGGTTGTGGCCGTTACGCAGGTGGCCAAGGTTATAATAGCATTGGGCATTTTTGTGGAGGATGGGCTGGTAATTGTGGCGATGGTGGTATTGGAGGAAGCACTTGGTATCTGGTTTGTGATCGATGCAGAGAAAAATATCTCCGTGAAAAGCAAGCAGCAGCAAGAGAGAAGGTATTTTCATCTGTTTCTTATATGTTTAGCGCTCTATCTGCTTAATAGTACTGTGTTCACAACTTGAAAATAAGGTAGGGCCAGTTTAAAAAAACCTTGCACTTTCAGAATTTTGGAAGGTCTTAGAATATCCACTTATGTCATTGATAGGTTTAAAATAATAAGACAGAAACTTTGCTGATAACTTCGGACCAGATTTCTTTCCTTCAGATGGTCGTGTTTTCAAATTCGTAAAGTCATTTTATTTTCTATCCCAATACAACTGCAGCATAGGATGTGGTACCTAATTTTTTAGAAGTATGTGTCTATTTATTTATTTAATTTTGAATTCTGTTTTGTTTGTTTACTGAAATAGGAGTATTGTTTTAACTTTGTATGTTTCTAGTTTCTTTAATGATCTTAATCATCCAGATTGTTGGATACAGATGCCAAACACTGGGTAAACTAGAGCAATTTTTAATGGGAATAGTATGAAAGGTGGTGGTCTTATATTGGTCTTCCATGACCAATTTCAAATTCTTGCTTGAAGTATACGAATATGTTGAGCTTTTAAGATAAGCAGAACAATGCTAATTTAACTTTATTTTTGTTTAAATTTGTTGAAACTTTTTGCACACATAATTCATCCTGAGGCAACTACCAAAACTTTCAGCTGTTTATTAAAAGTTTGCAAAGTTACAAAAATAATAAAGTGCCATTTTGTAATAGAAAACATAACAGGAAGAATCGAGCAACTTTAGTATACGTGACACTGTCAGCTTTTCCTGTGATGAAGTATAACTTAAATGTACCTTTTTTTTAAATTTCTTTAGATTAAACAGTCTAGGAGAAAACCAATGCAAGTTAAGACTCCTCGTGCCTTGCCAACTATGGAAGCTCATCAAGTGATTAAAGCCAATGCACTGTACTTACTGTCGCTGAGTAGTGCTGCTGAGCCCAGTATCCTCTGCTATCACCCTGCAAAAGCATTCCAGTCTCAACTTCCTAGTGTCAAAGAAGGAATTTCTGAAGACTTTCCCATTAAAATGCCATGTCTCTATCTACAGACTTTAGCAAGGTAATTAAAGGAAGTTTATGAATATTGATTTTAATACTCATCTATTTATAGTGTTGGATAAAAATGTGTGTATAAACTAAACTAAAACTTAATAGGAAAATACATATTTTCCTAATTCTTTATGATCTTTGTTCTTCTTTCTTTTCCATTTCCATGATCTTGTTCAATTTCTTAGATTGTATTTGCTCTAAGGGTGAAATATACCCTGAGTAGCTTTTGGATGCTAAATATTTTTTAGCAACAGTTTAGTTTCTGTCCAAAGAATTTAGAATTTCCTGAAGAGTTTAACTTAGTATATTAGTAGCAGACATATGTGCTACTTCTCTGTCTTCACAGTTAAAAATAATAAGAAGGAAACCAGAAGACTTGTGCTTGCTTGGTATTTCTAAGTAAATTTCACTGTAGTATCTCATGTTTATGATGGATAGACAATTGGGCCTAAAATATGTCATGAATGCAGGTTTGCGAATCCTGCTGATTATGTCAATTTACTATGAATGAGTGACTTTACACAGTTTGATCTAGTAACAGTTAGAATTTACTTGTAGCAAATCGCAGAATTTGATTATAATATTTTTAATAGCACTCAATCATGAATTATTAATAAAGTGATTAGACAAAATTGATCAAAACAGTGACTTAGTTACAGATTCGAAGATGGCAAGGTTCACTCTATTACTACATGGAAGCACATAAGGGAAAATTAAATCACACTGAGTTGGAATGATTCATAAAGGGATTGCGTATATAGGGAATAAGGAGGACCCTCCTGTTGAGTCACAAAGTTTAGAATAGACCCCCTTGCTTTCTAAACTTCTCAGAGAGGAGCCGAGGTGCGGCTAGGTCTAATTTTAGTCTCAGACTTGGTCAATGGTTTATATGAATAAGGATAATATATATATATGCATATATGTATATCTAGTACATAGGAAAAATATATAAAGGAAATTGGATTATATGAGAGAGAAAGAGAAATTGTATGTAGGGGATATGGAAACCCTCCTGTTAAGTCACGAGGTTCAGAATGGACCCCCTTGCTTTCTAAACTTCTTCTCAGAGAGGAGCCTAGGTGTGGCTGGCCCCACTCTTAGTCTCAGACTTGGTCAATGGCTTATGAGAGTAATGCTATAAGAATAATACAGCAGTATAAGACTCCCTTTGAAATTAAATCATAAATCTACAGACTACTTAAATTGATTCATGCATGCACGCTCACAAATATGAATGCATATATGAAAATGGTATACCTGTTAAAAATTCCCCTCGAGTTTAGTGAAATACTGACATCTAATGCCTTGGCATTTCTCAACGGGCAAGAGTAGAGCCTCAAGGAATGAAGAATTTCAGCCCAGGCTCTGTTGTTGATCTTCAGCAATGGAGTTCTGGTTGCAGCAGACTTTCGGAGTCTGCTAGTTTCACTGACTCTGAGAGGTGTTTTGATCAGAGGGAGATGCTGGTGCAGCCCATGGCAGTCCAAGAGAGCTCAAAGGGCCTCACTTGTTTATAGAGATGTGAGATGATTGACTTTAATCACCGGTAAATTTCCATCCGAGCCGCAATTTGGGCCGGTAGTTGCTGGATTTCCAGCAATGATGATACCACTGTTTCAAGGCTGTCGGGGTAGCTGTTTATTCTTGCTCCCCTCGTTAGCCATAATACAAAGATTTTGATAAGGACAGGGCTGCTCTCTGCTTCAGCCATGTAGGAGTTTCTAGTACAATTAAGGGGTGCTTAACTGACTAACTCGCTACACAAAAGCGGGGGCCTGGAATTCCTGAGATCATAAAGCTGTTGAAGAGAAAGAGGAATGGGGGGGGGGTGCACCACCACAAATGGAAATACCTAATGAAAACACTAAAAGATAGCAAAGGGTGATCCCTATTCCCTGTTGGTTGAAAATGCCATTGTATTTTCCACTAACACTTTTAAGTCATAACCAGCTTAAATGCATTAGGTGAGGAGTAAATGAATAGCATTGGCTGGCTAAATGTATTGGCAAAGGACTTGTGTGTGTGTGAGTTTTTCAGGAACTTGTAATCCTTAATCCTAATTTAAAAATCTAATTTGATGTAGGCATCATCATGAAAACTTTGTTGGGTACCAGGATGACAACCTCTTCCAGGATGAGATGAGGTACCTGCGCTCAACTTCAGTACCTGCACCGTACATCTCAGTTACTCCTGATGCAAGCCCTAATGTCTTTGAAGAGCCAGAGAGTAACATGAAATCTATGCCTCCAAGGTACTTCCTTGTAATTCTAGGTACTACATACAAATGCTAAAGCATTAGCATAACACCAATTTTTAAAAAAAAAAAAAAAAAAAAAGGAAAACATTGCTGTAGTTAAGTAGCTAACATATCAGATCAGCCCAGATCAATCTCCAAAATGGCAGCAAAAAAGCCAAAAACATATGAAGCTGTAGTTAGAAAAATATATTCAGTGAATCATAGCATATCAGGTATATTTTCAACAACTAGCAATGCAAGTTTGCAAATTGGATTTGAAACTTTTAACTGTAATGCAAACCTGTTGCTTCTGTCTAGAAAGGTCTTGGTTTTAAAACCTAAATATGAAAAAAGTTTGTTCAGAAATTGATAAGGTTTCTTAGCATACCTCAGGGAAATGTATCCATAGTTCTTACTCCAGGCCTGCTTATTTCCCTGGGGACACAAATACAATTTTTCCAGAATCCAGAACTGCAGAAGTGATCTAAAGAGCAATGGTCTGAGGACCACAGCTGTTGTGAACTCCTTGAAAATGTAGCTATTTTTTTCCCCTGTGTTTCTATTCTTTAACACAACTGACTGTAGTGCAGATTAACAGCCTTTTTGAAAGGAAGTGGCTGTTATCCTCCTTTCAGGATTTCATTCTGAAGGGAAGTTTGAACAGGAGGGAATTTCATTACCTTACATTTTTCAAAGCAAATGGTGCTGCTTCTTTCTGTGGGAAGTTAAAATGTCACTGAAGAAATGACAACTTAATGCTATCTAGAACCAAGAGTGCTAGACGGTTTCTGTCAGGTTAAGCCAGTTCCTTATCTCATTAGGTTTACTATGATCTAATCCAAGCAATTCCAGAATTTTTCGTTTTGGCAGGGAAAAAAAGGCTCTTATTGTTACTTAATAATAGTCCAGAATCAACTTAGATGCTCGGTGTTTTCAGATGTCAAACAGTGATTCCTCATATTATAATGAGGATGTAATGAAGAGAAAACTTGCTTTTAATCTGTTTTTATTTTAATCTGTTATATCTTTTACTGAGTGCAAAAACAGTTTATTGGAATACTACAATCTACAATGTAGTCTTTTCAGAAATAGAACTTTTCTAACAAAACTCCTTAAGAGTGCATCGTATTGGTATATTCCTTTATTAAAACTGGACACCATGGTCTCCTGAGGCCTATAGGGACAGCATAAGCTGGGAGTTCTTCTGCAGACTGTAAGAAGTCCACTGAAGGTAAGGAGTAAAACATGTCAGAGGCGAAGCTGTAGCAATTAGGCTTTAAGGCTAATGATGTTAGAAACTTTTACTTCACATAGAGTTCTAAATTTCAGTTGGCTTGCATATTAAAAATTCACTCCATAGATGTTTTCACATGCATTCTCGGGGCAAATTTGGTCTGAAACTTCAATTCAGGCATGATCTGAATGTTTGTGTTCTCTCAAAAATACCTAAATTTTTGGAACTTACCATGTACATCATTACATTTGTTTATAAAGTTCTTGCATGCTTCTTCACCACGTGTAATTCTAATACGTGTTCCTTCTTTTCCAGCATTTAAACAGTTATTAGGTACATAAGACAAACTTCCATGCAGTAGTAACATTGTCATTATGAAAAGCATGTGTCTTTATTTACTATTTATGTATAATTCAAGTATACTCTATATATTTGTTGATGGGTCTATAACTTCACTGATTTCTTTGTAGTTTGGAAACCAGTCCAATAACAGATACAGATCTTGCGAAGCGTACAGTCTTTCAAAGATCTTATTCAGTTGTTGCATCAGAATATGACAAACAGCACTCAATTTTGCCAGCACGTGTAAAGGCGATCCCCAGGAGACGAGTCAACAGTGGAGATGCAGGTAAGAGCACAGACATCAGAGGCAGTGAAAAAATATTCAAGGATATGGCATTGGATTTGCAGTTGTTCTTGGAAACTGCAGACAAATACAATTTTTATAATTACATGTAATGGCTTTTTTTTTCTATTTATTAGTAAAAATTAGCTGTTTGTTAATCCGCACAGGATTAGTTCAACAGCTCAGAAATTACTGCGGTTCTGAAATTTGTGGTGCATCTTCTGTGCTTGATTTAAAAGTTAAAGTGGTATTTGCTTTCTCAGTTGAAGCATAGTTTTTCCATATTGCTTTTTTTTAATGCATTTTTCTCATAGAAAAAATGAAGAAAAATATCAATTCTAAAATTGCTCTATTGCTTTTTATTTTTACTGTGGCTATAAAATTAAAATGCACAAAGAATCTAATGTATGCGTATTTTTATGCTTTTGAATAGAAGTGGGGTCCTCTCTCCTGAGACATCCATCTCCTGAACTTTCTCGGTTAATCTCCGCCCACAGCTCTCTTTCCAAAGGAGAGAGAAATTTCCAGTGGCCAGTATTGGCATTTGTAATCCAGCATCATGATCTGGAAGGACTTGAAATAGCAATGAAACAAGCCTTACGGAAATCTGCTTGCCGAGTCTTTGCCATGGAGGTATTAATGTACTAATGGATCTTCTATGATTCACATAAGACATTTGTAAATTCTGCCTCAGAATTTTTTTAAAGAATTTTTATATAGATTAAAAAACAGAAAATAAATTACTTTGTGCAGTAAACTTATTCTAAAAGTTCACTTGTGTTACTAACTCTGAGTTATGAATATAAAAGTATCACCTGTAAACCTCCTTCAGTAGTTTGTCTGTTGTGTAGAAAATCTCTGAAAAGTATATTAAGGCTGCAAAAATCAATTATATAAATACTGTTTTCTCCTCATTTGCTCAGCATCTTCCTGGTCTTACTTGCCATTCCTTTTTCAAATACTTTTTCAAAGTATTCTTCCTTTTAGAATTGTTTTGGTGCTGGTAATATCTAGATATTTCACAACTTCCTCCCAAGATGGGTGAATGCTACCCCTGTTATGTAGATAGTGAATGGGTGACCAAAAGATCCATTAAAGATTAATTGCTTCCAATAAAAACTGCAAGAAGTATCCTCATTAAGGCCATTTTTTTTTTATTTCAGCCAAGCTTTAGCAAAGTTGAACTTGCATACAGCATGGGTATTTTTCAAGTATTTGCAACTTGTGAAAATATAGGTGGATTTTCTCAGATAAAGTAAAAAACACACCTCTAGTGTTAAGCACCACCTGTCAAATTTCCAAACATCAATATGCAGAAGTATTGCAGCTTTTAAAAGAATATAAGAACATTATGGTTTTTAAAACCACTTTTTTCCCCAGTATGTTGATTTTTTTTTTCTTTTTTTTTTAAATGGTTGAATTGTTTTAATTCAGTCAATGGCAGGGACCAAACAAGGAAACTAAATCTTAGCCTACAGAGTTGTAAATTAAATCATCCTGTAACAATCTCTGAAAATACATAAGAACTTTGCTTTTTCATCCTTAAAGCTTTTTTCAAAGAAGTTATTTTTGTGTATGGTGTTTGTGAATTACTTTGCTATGTCCCCTGTAATATAGTTGTAATTTTAATAAACTGTTTTAGCTACAGAGCAATGTGTCTTACTTGAAGACCTCTGCATTATTACTTGTCTGTCCAAAAGCATCAGTGCACCTTCTTAGAAAAATGGTTTAAGAAATGGTTTTACTCCAGGTTTGCTTAACCGATTGGTAACTCCTTGTGTGTATTTTACTTTAGGCTTTCAACTGGCTTCTTTGTAATGTCATTCAAACAACTTCTCTTCATGATATTTTATGGCATTTTGTGGCTTCCCTGACTCCTGCACCTGTAGAGCCTGAAGAAGAGGAGGATGAAGAAAATAAATCAAATAAAGAAAATGCAGAACAAGTGAGGTTCAGCATTCCTTTTGTAAATACAGTCTCTCTGCTGATTTTGTAGTAAATTTAGAAATATTTTTATTATGTTTTAAAAAACAAAACAAAACAAAAACCACCTTAATCCTCTCCCTGTGAAACAGAACCTTAATTATGGAATGAAAATTCTCAGTCTTAACTCTTGAACTCTTTTGATAGTCATAGATTAATTTTTCTTCTAAAATTGCCAAATTTTGTGTGATGATGAACTGCAGTCTTTTAATGCATTGTTTTTGTGAGTATTCATGGGAAAGAAGAAAAAAAAGCACAAGCATATTGCTAATCCAGTAACAAAAAAAATTGCTGTTTGCTTTTTATTCTTCCTTCCCCCCCAAAAAAAAGAAGAGAGAAAAAAGAAAATATTTTCCAGAGAGGCTTTGTTGTTCAGTCTGCTGTCTTTCAGTGCTTTAAGAAAAGTCTATAGCTAATTCTGAAAATCTATAGTTAATTTAAGTAACTTTTAATATTAAAAAATTATATATAATTATGTATACACTAGACAGTTAATTTTAGTGAGTTAAGAAAAATCTATAGTAAGTTCTGAAAATGTAGCATGTAAAATGGTATAGTCTAACATATCACTCTTCCAAAAGGTATCTTCATACAGTCCTTCTAGATTTAGCTCTGATTGAAAACATTATCATGTCCACGATGAATAGCTCAAGAAATCATGCTGGTGCTGCTAGTAAGCCAGGGTAATTTTTATCACTTCAACTCTAATCCAGCTTTGAAATGGAAAGTTCTGAAACAAGTCTTTTCAGCATTGCAGCCCTGGTACATTGCTACAGTTGTTTACAAAGCAACTGTAGTCTTGTCCTAAATTTTGTGGGACAAGCATATTATTTATTTTTATTTTATTTTTTGTGGGATATCAACTTTTCCACATCACTGTATCAACATGCAGATTTATAATTCTACTTATTTTCAAGTGTGCCGTATTCTTGTATGTATACATTAAAGCCGATTTGCAGTAGCTCTGTGTATTATGTTCTGAATGTTGTTTCTGTGCTTGGCTCTAACGATTTTCTGCCTTGTAATAATTTTAACTGCTACATCAAAAGCACTGCTAGAGTGAGGGAAATGTTTTCTCACTGGTCCATATGCCGGTCAGCCTCCAAACTAATAACCTTTACCATATAAAAGAAAAAACAAATATTGTTCTAGCTGTAGTTTGGATAATACTGGCTGAAAGATAAAGATTAGAAAGGAATGTTAAAATATGTCACTTCTGGTCTGGTGGGAATGCTTCTTCTCTTTTGGCATAATGAAAGGGGGACTTAAAAAAATTCCCCTTGGTCACTTGGCTAGGATGAATAATTTTATGGCATACAAGAAACTCGCAATAGTTTTCAGCTAATTTTTAAATATCACTCAGGTGATATGTATTCAAATCTTCCTTCAGTAGTCTGATCATATGATAAAAATACCCATTTAAATATATGTACACAATCTAATAAATCCAAGGCAGTTTGGTGCTTTTCCACTACTGGGATTCATTTCCTTATGTGAAATATTTTTACATATTCTTTTAATATACTGGGAGAGGGTGAGAAATCCCAGTGATGATTTCTGTAGAAATGGGGGATGGGGATCTAGAACCATATATGGTTTAATGCATAAGATGTAGGTTCAAGGGCAGTGTCCTTGCTAAAGCAAAACGAAATGCAAGAATTGCGAAGCTGCGGAGTAGACAGAGGGGAGCAGGATGCTATCTGTGGAGATAGGATCCTTGGGGGGAAGGGAAATACCTAGGCTTTGAACTTTTTCTGAATAATTGATTATATTTAGCGTAGAGTTCAATCTCATGCTTCCTACTTCATATGCTAAGTACACTTTATGCCCTCAAGGAAAATACAGAGAAATGTCTGGTTTGATGATTTTTGTCTAGGTAACCAGGTGCCTAAAATTAATTTCAAATAAGACCATAACATTTCTAGGCAACCAAGCAGTTGAGATCCGTGGGAAATCTACTTGCAAGAATATACATAGACAATTTAATGTGTTTAAAATTGTAAGCTTGAATCTGGCTTGGGATGTCAGTACACTGGGGGCATGCAGTTGGGTTCAAGCAGGATCAGATTTTCTTTTAAAAACAAAGCGGGTTTAGAAGGCAGAGGAAACAGTTTGCATCCTTCGTAGGTCAGTCTTTCCCTGCCTTCTGAAATAGGGTATCACAGTCAGTACCCCCTCCTCTGTCTCTGCTACTCTTCCCATACACACCTTGCTGGCCCCCACCCTCTTTGGTCCTCTGCCACTGCCTTCCTACCCACTGCCCAGTGGAACTTGGCTCCCAGTGCACAGCTCTTCTGATACTGACACACTTTAATCATTTTCACAGCTCTAATGAAATAAAGCAGCTGATAACCATAGCTTAATTAGCAAGTTTGCTGTGATTGGGTTTAGCTGCTCAAAGAATTTATTATTAACAGCTGGAATATGTTAATTTTTCTAGAGGGTTTTTTTGGTTTTGTTAAGTTACTGCAATGTAATGTTTCACATTTTTAAATCGTGAGACATATCTGGTAGTATACTTGGTGTTCATGTATAACTTGCTATTGTAAAAATTCTCTGACGGGAACTGCTTTGAAGTTGACATTCATTATAGGATTGTTGCAGTTACTCTTAAACCAAAAATCATAAACATTTTTATTTCTATTTATTTAACCTTTTTGTCTGAAAGCCTGTTAACAACACACAAATTGCTTTACATCTTAGGAGAAAGACACGAGAGTGTGTGAACATCCTCTGTCAGATATAGTGATTGCTGGTGAAGCAGCTCACCCGTTACCCCACACTTTTCATCGCCTCCTCCAGACAATCTCTGACCTTATGATGTCTCTTCCCAGTGGTAGTGCATTACAGCAAATGGCCTTAAGGTAAGCACAAATGAAGAAAATTCTTAGAAGTCTGAAAACATTGTAATATTATAGATTAAAATGTTTTGCAATGTAGAGAGGAAGTTTGAAACAACTTTATGTGCCTGTGTGAAAAGGAGCATGCGTATCCTTATGCATAGGAAAGATACATGTAAAGCATGTATATGTGTGTTTATACATATAAATACTAGTATAAAAGACTTTTTAGAGAAAAATGTGTTTCCTCTTAGTTCTGTACTGTATCCACTATGAAAAAAATACATATTATTGAATAATATGGTAGTATCTCTGTGTATGTGCATGGTAGTGTAATAGCTTTTGCTCAGAAGTCTGTCATCTGAATAGTATGCTTTAACTGTTTGAATTTTTTCCTCTGTATCCGTCTCAAAGATGCAAATTGAATAACAATAGCAACCCTATTCACTGTTAAAATTCTAAGTAAAGTTTACTCCTGCCTTCCTCAAAAAGACGCATAGAAACACTTAAGATCCTGCAAAAATTTGAAGTTAAAGGTTTATAGATTTGGAGGAGCAAAAATGCTATTAATAGCTTTGCTGATAGGTTATGTATTTTAAACAGTATTCAGAATTTCAGAATCCACTGTGTTTTCAGGTGCTGGAGTCTCAAATTCAAACAATCTGATCACCAATTCCTGCACCAGAGCAATGTTTTTCATCATATCAACAATATTTTGTCTAAATCTGATGATGGAGATAGTGAAGAGAGTTTTAGTATCAGTATTCAGTCTGGTTTTGAGGTCATGAATCAGGCAAGTATTACACCTCTCTCTAAAAGCAGTTCTCAATTGTGAACAGCCTGTACTTCCTATAATCATTCTGTTTGAATTAAAACATCTTTTATTGCAGTGTCGTATCTCCTTGGATGTCTCAGTTTGGGATCTTGTCTCATATTTAGCTTTAGAGGTTCAAATATTGCCCCTTAGCCTGTATATCACTCAAACCTGAATTTTGGAGCAGTGCTTGTAAGTGCTTGTAAGTGCTTGTTTGCAGGTAAAGTGTTTGGGGATCTCTTACAGTTCATTTAGTTAATTAATTTGGTTCATTGAGTTAGTTCATTTTTTAAATACTGCATACTTCCAGTTTTTACTTGCTTATATCTTTTTTTCTTCTGTTATTCTGAAGAGCACAAATTAGTACCCCTAATGAATATCTTTAAAGTGTCTTCTTCCATTTGTTCCCTGTATTCTTCCATTTAGGTACTCACTAATATACTCTGCTGTTAGCTATTAATATTTCCTTTGGTTTAAAGGGCTGAATAATTTGAATGAATAAATGACAAATTTCTTTAATTCAGAAAGTGTATTCCTCAGACCAGATGTGTCTATATGATTTTAAAAATTTTAAATAATGCCTGTATTTGGGCTTGGTTTCAGATATTTCAAATGGTCTTATTCGTTTTCACAGGAACTGTGTATAGTGGTTTGTCTAAAAGACCTAACCAGCATTGTTGACATTAAAACATCAAGCCGACCTGCCATGATTGGTAGCTTAACAGATGGATCTACAGAAACATTCTGGGAGTCAGGAGATGAAGATAAAAACAAAACTAAAAACATCACCATTAACTGTGTAAAAGGAATCAATGCACGTTATGTGTGTGTTCATGTAGACAATTCCAGAGATCTTGGGGTAAGAGGAAAATTAAATTTAATGTCTCTCATTGAAGGTGCATAGTCAAAGTTGTATATATTCATCAATCAAGAACCACTGTTTCTTTGTCCAGTTCAGTTTGTAATTCTAATTCAGAAGCTCACATTTCAAAGTAAGGTTTCTAATTCCTGTGGTTTTGAAAGCAGTACCTAATATGATCAGACCAATTCAACTGAATTTGCAGTTTGCATGAACCTGAGACCAGGAAACTTAATTCTTAGTGGCACGTTCAAATAAAGAGGTTTCATAAAATCCAATCTATTTTCTAGACTTCTGACTACCACAAAGTACAACTGTCCACTGTGTCCCACCTCAAAATTTCTACCTTTTCACCTCAGTTTGTCTTATGTAGAGTAATAATACTTTGTAAAACACAGAATTGTTAAATACAGGGAAATTCTAACATTGTTAATTTAAGTGACTTGATCTATCATAATAATGCTGATAGGCCATACCTGAATATCTCAGAACTGTATCACCTTGCCAGCACGATACAACCTTTTCACTTACTACATTCCTGTTTATGGATCTGTACAGTAATGTTACAAATACATCTTCATTTCAACTACAGGGTTTCATAAATGGATGAAATTTATTTATTTTTTTGAGAGCTGTGCTTTGGAATTCTTTGTCCTTGGTTTTGATCACTTTTAAAATCTATTTTCATAATGAAACAACTTCTCTCTCTCTTATGTACATACTCTCTTAATATGAAAGAAATAGTCAAAATGGTCCTCAGTTGAAGTATTTTGTTCTTTTATTTTTACTTGTCTGTTGCAGAACAAAGTGACTTCAATGACCTTCCTAACTGGCAAGGCAGTAGAAGATCTCTGCAGAATAAAGCAGGTAAACATCATAACAGCTGACATTGAAAAATTGCTGTCATTTTTTGGCTGCATATAGCAGAGGTCCAACAAACTCTTTGGTTTCTTTTAGGGGTACTTATATCAGAATATACCTGAAATAACTGCATTAAGTAGTATTACATGTTGTTAGATACTCTGATGCCTGGCTTCTTAGTGTTGCACTGTCATTGCCTTTTATCTGCTTCACGGAATCATTTTTCATTAGAGAAATGCAGCTTAAGAGTGAGGAGAAGTAGAACACTGTGAGAAGGAGAAAAATTATTTACCCTCAACCCAGGTTTTTCTAGTTACATGACCTAATACATGTTTATAGCACACATTTTACCTTGCCATTTTAGTTCTCAGCTTCAGATAGCTGAAGACTTCTATCCAGAGACTCAAGTTCAGAATGGTATTCAATATTTGTACTTCTGTTGCTAACCCAAATGATAGAGGCATGGTTTTTACACAGAGAAGAATGTTTTGTATTTTGACACTGATGCAACCCATCAAAGACTTTCAAGGTTTCAAGCAGGCAGTTACCTTATTATTATTTGGATTATTGACAGTCAGTGGTAAAATTCTTCAAGAAACAGCATTGTCTTACTACAGAGGAATGGTTTGCTTTTCTCTACCTCTTATCCTCAGAGAGCATTTAAGGCAAAGAAACATCTCCAAAAGATGTTACAGTTCTGAAGAAACTAAACTTTGGTACAGCGGGCTTGTATTAAACAGTGAAGTGTGAATGTGCATATGTACAGAGACAGATACAAAGTTTGGGAGCGTATTGTCTGTGAGTCTGTATATGTAGATAGAAGATAGAGATGCACACACCCCCTTCTTCCTTGGAGAATTCTTTTTTTGTGAGAAGACTGACTTTGTATGTCTACCTATCCAGCTAAATAAAAGAAGGCTGCAGCAGAGCTCAGGCGCTGGACTTGTGATCATTCATACAGCATGTTGGCTCACTCCCTGGCTTTGTTTCTGCCTGCTCAAACGTAGCGCCCAGGGCTTTTTCCAGGGATGGTTTACTCCCAGAAGACAGGCAAGACTTGATTCAGCTTTGCTGCCTCCTTGCTGAACAGTCCTCTGACACTTCTCCAACGTGTTTTTTAATCTTCCAGCACACCAACGTACCACACCCTAACTCACGCACACCCTCTGTCTCTTGATGGTAAAAAAAAAAAAGTCAGTCTTGTCTGCTGCAGCACAGTTCAACGCAGACACTGAGAATTAGTGTAGAAATGGGAAAGAACAAATATTAGCTTGATTATAAATGAGTCTTTGGGACCTATGGATGGCTCACTTGGCTCAGGGCCAAGTGTAATTTAGGCCCACTCAAGTTTCTCTCAGCAACGGTGTAAGGCACTGCACCCTATCGGCTTTTATCTTCCAGTGGTGACATCACAGTTAAAATCATATAACATTAATTACATTCTTTTTTAAAACCATATTTATTTTAAAATAAACTTAATTTGATACAGTTCATCTGTCTTTTTTACAGTGAAGTCCTGCATCTCTTGATAAGGATATTAGACATTGAATTCCACAAAGTTAAGATTTCTTTTGCAGGGGTTTATGTGAATAGGGATGGAATAACTTAAATACTGATAATAGTGTGTTGTATTTTCAGATAAATTATGGTGGCTTTCTTTAAATTAAAATTAGTGAGCAAATATTAGTTCAAAGTGGTTTTTTGAATATGTAAACTATTGCTTAGAGGATAAAAGGGATAGATAGCCTGCTATTTTTAATAGGCTTTAAAGACAATAAATGGGTATATGTAATTTTTATTTGAGAATTTTTTTTATCTGAAATCATGAAGTTTAAGAGTTTTATAATTAAGCATGTTAGTCTTTCTGTTCAGAATGAAAATTTCATAACAAATACTGGATTAGTTCCAGTGATACATGATGGGTTTGTTTTAGAGGTAGGTGACTTTTTGTTTGATGTAATGTCAGCTCCCATCTTTATGTTCCTGTTTAATAGGTAGACTTGGATTCAAGACATATTGGCTGGGTAACAAGTGAACTTCCTGGGGGTGATAATCACATCATCAAAATTGAGTTGAAGGGTCCAGAGAACACACTAAGAGTTCGACAAGTGAAAATTCTTGGATGGAAAGATGGTGAAAGCATTAAAATAGCAGGCCAGATTTCTGCAAGTGTAGCTCAACAAAGAAACTGTGAATCTGAGACGCTGCGAGTATTCCGACTTATTACATCCCAGGTGGGATTTTAATGATGTGTTATATGGTGAAAGTTATAAATTGCAGACTTTCAGTGCTTTATGTTTTAATGTAAAATGTCACATCTGCACAAGTTTATCTTTGCGATATAAGCTATTTGTCACTGTCTTTCTTCCAGGTATTTGGAAAACTCATCTCCGGAGATGCTGAGCCAACCCCAGAACAAGAAGAAAAAGCACTATTGTCTTCCCCAGAAGGAGAAGAAAAAGTACACAATGTATTTATTTGTATTCTATCAATAATACTTTGCTGAAAAAATGATCCAGGATGTTTTTCAGTATTGTCCTGTGTCTTATGCTACATAATTTTCAGATCAAAACAGAAGTAAAATGTCACAATTGCTTATTTTTTAAAAAATTATCAATTTTTATTAGTAAATTATAATTGGAGCATATTCATTTAATGGAAACATCATAGCAATGGTGGCACAAATTATGCCGACAAGTACAGAATTACTTAACATCTGCAGTAATGGTCAACTTGAAAGTCCTTCATGCCTATTATCTTGTGCCTTAAGAGGGGCTCTGCTGATGTTTAGAGAAAAAGTATTAAGAAACTGCAGTAGTATCCTTTTACTAGTATACTCACCTGTCTTCCAGCAAGGATTACTTTAAGAAGTGTTCCTGAAAAGGTCACTGTATCTGGACTGTCATGTTTAATAGCCAAAACTGGACTGTCCTCAATGGAAGTAATTTCATTTTTCAGATGATATACGGTTTTCCTCTACCCAGTACCTTGTGGGAATAAGTTCCATGACTGAATTACTGATTTTTTTAAAAGTGTATTTTTCTCATGCCTGCTGTGTGGTAACTTAATTTTGTGTTCCCTGTTTCTTTTATTGTGAAATACATAAACTGAAAAGTATATTCCATGCACTGCTTCGCAAAGACTTAATCAGTGATTTTATTAAGCTACCTGAAGAGGCTGAATCTTGGATAATTATACTTCACTTGTTTTTCTTATTGATTATTTTATTTCATGCTCAAATTTCCTCTTATGAAGAGAAAGACAGTAAATACATCTAAGTGGTATTTAGTAACCATAGTTAAATTGATCTTGCTTATATATCTTATTTCTCTGTAACAAAAAGCTACAAACTTTTAGAACAAAGTTTGCTGGTATTCCATGTTAATTGCTACAGTAATTAGGAGATGTTCTTGAAACTCTTGATCTAATATTAAATGTGCTTTTTATGAAGGCAACATCAGATGCAGACCTGAAGGAGCACATGGTAGGGATCATATTCAGCCGGAGCAAACTGACAAATTTGCAGAAGCAGGTTTGTTCATTCTGAAGCGCTTTGAGGATTAAATGTTTGTGTGTTGTAATAAATATGCTCATTTTCAGTGAATATAGTACCTTTTACTTGACACTTTCAGTTCTTCTGTTGTTCTTTATAATCAAATTTTGGTTTATATTTTAAATAGTATGTGTGTGCATTTTATATGAAAAATCTGCTGAAATTGACACTGAAAAAAATCCATTTTAATAGGATAAAAATACCTATCCTATTAGACTCAATTTAAAAAGAAAAATTTTAGAATTGAGTTGTAAATGGTACTTATTCGTGTTTGCTAATAATAATAGCGTAATAGTAGACTTCCTCAAATTTCTAGGAAAGCTTCAGTGACAGAGTTTAGGTTCTTAGTTTTGCACGTGTTTTCTCCCCATTTCTGTCATCAAAAGTATTTAGGTTTGATAAAATTTAATATTGAGAAGGTAATCAATGCATAGATTCTTAAATTATTCTTTCCTGCAGTCAGTGAAAGTTTGGGTTTGTGTTTTCCTTACTTATCTTTGGTTTTGTTAACATAAACCGGTAGTTAGAGTATGTTTTTTCTTTTTCTTTTGAATACTTAATTCTTTTAAATATACCAACTAAAGCGTCCTTTATATTATCTTTATTACACCTATCACGAGACAAACATTGCCATAAAGATTTTCACAGTAATACAAGAGGTATTAGATTCATTTTAAAGTTTGTTATATTAGTTTAGTCATGCAGAATCTACTTTTTTTGTCACCCATCTTAGCAAATTTTAAAATCTCTTAAAAATGCATTTTAACATTCTATTGATAAAATGAAAATGTGGTTTCTAAAATTTTTTAAGCTTCCTGAATAGTAAACTAAATAAGAGACTTTTAATACATCCTCTTTTTTTGTGGGTTTTGAGTAAATGTATTTGGGGGGGGGTTAACCTGAATTCTATGTAAAAGGCAGGAACTACAATAAAAAAAGACTTTTTTCAATGAAATTTTCCAGAATGAAGATAAGAAAATTCAGGATTAAATCTAAATCTTAATTCTAAAGAATTTTATCTTATCTTTACTCTAAATCTAAATTGTATTCTTCATTTGAATTTATGTTGAAAAGTAATTTAAGCACTGGCCAAATTTCACAGACTTTCCATTGTAGTCATAGTTGTGAAAGTAAATAAAACACAATCTCTTGCACTTTCTAAAAGCTTTTAAGAGTTACTATGTATTTGGATTCTGTTTGGATAGGTATGTGCTCATATAGTCCAGGCCATACGAATGGAAGCAACCCGTGTGCGTGAAGAATGGGAGCATGCCATCTCTAGCAAGGAGAACGCCAACTCGCAGCCTAATGACGAAGATGCTTCTTCTGACGCTTACTGCTTTGAGCTGCTGTCAATGGTTCTGGCATTGAGCGGTTCCAACGTAGGCCGGCAGTATCTGGCTCAGCAGCTGACTCTGCTCCAGGATCTCTTCTCATTACTACACACTGCTTCTCCCAGGGTGCAGAGACAGGTGAGTGCTAATTGTTCCTTGTCTGTCTTGGTATTCCTAGAAAAAAGTCTTTAGAATACTCTAATTGTGTGCATGATAGTATAATATGTATTTGAACTTACTTTTTTTGTGAAATGTAATTTTGTGTTTTTACTTCAAAAGTGTTTTCCCAATCATCCCTATATTCCACATAGGGAATAATTGTAAATAAAGCAACTCGTCTTGTTATTGCAATCATGAGGAGAGGGCAAATAGAAATTTATGAACATTTAAAAACAAATTACAGAATCTCTTTTTGGAATTTGTCAGTTGTTTTTTTCCCAGTTTTTGAATGGGGTTAAAATTATAAAGTTTGATGCGTTTGATATATAAATACATATATACCCCAGCATAATTTGACTGTATAAAACTATTTGTAGGAAGTACAAACGATGTTGAAGGCAATGAAGGCTACAGTTATGAAATTAAAATAAACTCACTTTTGAGTAAGTTTTTAGTGCATTGTCTCCAAGAGGTAGAACTGAGGTGTAGGAACCCAAAACTGCTTAATTAACACTTATGTCATCATGAACCTAAATCAGCAAACTATTCTGAAATGCCTTTAGTAATATCACTCTTCACCTTTCTGGTCCTTACTTGGTAGGATTTTGGGTAGGGCAGGATAAATTGCTTTCTCAAACCATACATCAGAGGGACATACGGTTTGCTTGGCAGGGACTGTGCTGAATTGAAGTAGGATGCACAAGAGCAATTGGTCATTTTCTGTGTCCTAACAGAAGTCTTCTGCGTAAGCACACAGCCTTTGTTTCAGAGCGATGTTGTGAAGGATTCTTTAGTGAATCTGAACTTCACAGTATTCAATGAATCTTACTTCACAGTAACCCAGTTGTTCATGTTTTCAACAGATTCATCCATGTCCTGTTACGTATGTTCAGTTTGTAAAGTATTTTCTTTCCGTTGCAATGACTAGGAATTCTTTTTTAAGATGAATGTTCAGATTCTGAAGTTGCTGCTTCCTTGTGACTGGCAGTACTTAAATTTAGACCAGTGTTATGTATTACGTTTCAAAAAAGAGACTTCTTAAAGTTCATGTTGCATTTGTCTACTTTATTTATAAAGGACAGCATCGTCCAGAATTATTACATATAATTGCAAGAACCAGAGGTGCTCCTTTTAAATATCAGAGCTGTTAATTTCCCATTTCTTAAATGTATGAAGTTTAAAAGCTGGTTTATTCATTTATTGCAAATAAGAATTCTGTATAAAAAGCAGTTAAGTTTTCAGGTGTGGAAGGAAGCTAGTGAGGTGACTGCTTGTTTTTTAGTAAGATCTCATGCCACTTCATTGTGGGGAAAGGGTCTGAGAGAGCAACATAGTTAACCCCCTTGGTATGTGCTGCAAATGCTCCAAATGTTGGGAAATCCTTGCATGATTTGAGGAGGCCATCGTTAATTCTTGCCCTTTTAATATTGTGTTTGACCTGAAGGCACAGTGACAGCTAGAATTATGGGATAACTAATAACTGTCTTGCTAAAACTTCGTAACAGATGAAGCTGAGCCTTCACTGGTTAAGATTAGACCTTGAAAGCGTAGAGCATGGTTGAAATGTCTGTCAAATGGACAGGACCTAAAAAAAACAGTGGTGTTTGAGTATTTCATATTATGCATATATAATGCCCATATAGCCTGTGTAGGTAAGATCAGAAGTTTTTAATAAGCAGTGTCTGGCACGAGTCCTTAGCATCTCTGTCTTACACTCAGGCTATGAGTGTAGTAGTGTGGAACTAGACAATTCCTTTCTACTCTTGGTATCCTCAGAGCTTTAATATCTGTTTCTTTCTGAACTTGAATGTTGTCTGTCTGAGTATACGTGTATTTATATGCACATATTATAACATACAGACATATCAAATATTTGCTTTAGCACAGTTAATGCACTGGCTTGTTGCTGCTAGCTGGTATGCCTTCTCTAAGTGGATTTTTAGTTCCTGTTTCAGAAGTTTTTGTCTCATACTCTCTACTTCTCTTTTTCCAGTGTTCTGAACTGTTACAATGTCACATTTCAACTTGCCTGCAGGCAGATACTGCCCCACTTACTTATTCTGATACATTGCAGATATGCAAAATACTGGGGTTTTTTTCTTAAAAGGTAAACTGTTTTTCAGGAGAACATTGAAAGCTTGAGAAATTAGATATGAAATGTTAACTCCTTAAGCTTTCATACAAACTTTGCATGATATATGCACAGATTTTCTTTTAAAAAAATTCCAGTTAGAATATTGCAAGGAAAACTAAAGGAAGGGGAAAAGAGTATCATGGAAGAGAATCATCATTTTCAGTACCTCAAGGCAAGTTCTTTGTTTTCAGAAGTCTGAAGTGTCTCTAATTGTTCTAATTGAGAAATGGAGTTTCTCACATCTAAAGATTATATCTAAAGATGATATGCAAAGTGGGTAACGTCTGTAATGCGCAAGCAAATCAGAGTTGTACAAACGTCTGTATCACTGTTATCGTAAGTCCAGTACCAAGCACATTTTTATTACTATATGAAGACTAAGTATTGTTTGAGTGAGATTGGACTGAATCTGGACTCTTCAGCCTTGTCTCACTAAGTATATGAATAAACACTTCAAAGCAAGATAGAAGCCTTACAGAATTTCTTACAGATGTGATTTAAGTACAGAAAGTAGATTCAATCCTTCTTACTGAAATAATTTGTGGGAAAGAAAAAAGACTTTATTTGATTTTGCTTGAAAATTCCAGCAGTCTTGGTAAGAATTGTGGTGTTCTGGGTTTTTTTTCCAGGTAACATCATTACTAAGACGTGTTTTGCCTGAGGTAACCCCTAGTCGCCTGGCAAGTATTATAGGAGTGAAGTCTCTTCCACCAGCAGATATAAGTGATATCATTCACTCAACAGAAAAAGGAGATTGGAATAAACTAGGTATCTTAGACATGTTTTTGGGATGCATTGCCAAAGCTCTCACTGTACAGCTAAAAGCCAAAGGAACTACTATAACAGGGACAGCTGGCACTACTGCGGGCAAAGGAGTTACCACAGTCACACTTCCAATGATCTTCAATTCCAGGTTTGTTTAAAAATATGTATATATTCTCAAGCTAAAGGCACAAAATAATTACATTTTTTAAAATCAGTTATGTTGTCTTTTATAATCTTTGTTTTATAAATGGAAAAAATTGTATAACACTTTGACAGTATGAGTCATGTTATTAGTGAGTTTAATTTTAAAAAAATACCCACAACCTACCATATGCTGAAAATGTGCATATTTCTTTGTGGTGGATTTTGACAAAAAGTAACTAATTACTTGAATTTACTTCATGCATTATCATATGTCCTTTGCAGCTATATTCGACGAGGTGAAAGCCATTGGTGGATGAAGGGTTCAACACCTACACAGATTTCAGAGATCATTATTAAACTCATTAAAGACATGGCAGCAGTAAGTTTCTATCCTCTAAATGCGTGGAGGATATTCAAGTATTTCTGATAATGAAGAGTACTTTTTTTCATTACTTTCTATTACAGTTAGTATTGGGTTGAGCTGTTAAATGTGAGTTGGTCTCAAGAAGAAAAAGGTACAGTCTTCTGGGTAGAGTCTAGGCCTAGGAGCAGTAGGAACTGAATTCTGAATCTGCTAAATAGAAATCCGGTTTTGAAATAAGCTTTTAAATAAGTCACTTGTACCAGAAATTTAAGTAGTAAACAATAGTTGTATGTCATTCTCTACATTATTAACTTGGAAGCCTAATTTTTTAAGTCTTGACCACTCAGAACTCCAACTGAAAAGTAAAAAGTGTCTGTGGAGTAAGGTAATAGCGTTGTTTTCATGTAACTGTATGTAGATTTTGTATGTGGAGTTTCTGGTTTGCATGTTAAGACTGACTTCTTTCAGTGTTACTGAAATCTACATTTATAGTTGTTTATTATTTTAACCACCTGGGCTGAAATTTTCCATAGCTGTATCTGCTTCAGACAAGTTTTTTGGCAGAAGAATTTGATGAAAAGTCATTCAGCTATTTCCCAGAAACAATATTGGCAAAAAAAATACATTTTGTATATGTTTAGGGGAAAGGAGTTTAGTTGAGAGGTTGGTTTTGTTTTCCTTAATTCTGTACCTATTTCACTGAGATGTTCTAAATGACCCAGATTTCCCTCTGTGATTACCCTTGGAAAGCTTTTTCAGTATGTTCAGCTTTGGAGTCCTATTTTTTTTAAACCGTTCACTGTGCTTAGATTAAAGAGATCCCTTCTCAAAGTTGTTGAAGCTGAATGGGAATTCTCTGCAATTGCTACTGTTGATTCTGACTGCAAGATTTCAAAGATTTCAGAATCTCACAGTTCATCTTTAGTTAAGAGTTAAAATTAAAGTGTGTCTCATCCCTCAGCAGTGCTGGTCTATGCATAAAATGATCGCTTAGTATTTGTTTCAGTTGTTCCAGTGGCTAGAGGGGAAAAGGTCTGTTGTAGGTACCACTGTGATTCCACACGATAGATTTTTGTTTCTGCTTACTTTATCAACACTTTAGCAAATTGCATATAAAAACTCGGACCAAAAAACATAGCAGTTGTAAAGACAAGTACTCAGAAGATAGTAAATGCCAGGATTAACATGGTGCCCCCTGTATGTATATGCCCATATGTTTTTCTCAGGCACCCTGCTTCTTTCAGTGTATAGATGCAACATGAATTGCGGGGAGGGGTAATTTGTTCAAGTTTGGGGATTTTTTTTAGGGTTGTTGCTAGTATAATTTGTAGCCATTGTTGGTAGGTATGCTTTGGGTAAGTGGGAAAACGTCAGGAAAATAGTGGATTCCCTTCTGCAGCATTTTTAAATAGTACTGGGCAAGTCTTTTGAAGCAAACTCTGTGGTCCTTGTTTTATGGGATACTGGCTTCCATGATGATGGGAGAGCTTGTCCCTTAATGAATAGCTGATCAAAACTAAGCTGAGCCCAGACCTTTTCCAGGAATAAAAGAAAGAGATTAGTAGAAATAGAAAATCACTGGCTGACTAGAATCACGTTTCTATTTTTGTCTAAGTAGCTCCTCTAGCTATTCAAGACCTTCACCCATGAAACTGTGGCATTTGCTAATATCTGGTTCTCCAAAACCATTGCAGAAGTTAGTAGCAAATTTCTTAAAGTTCTGGAGGTCAGATATGGCAACTTGCATGCATATCCAGAGTATGCTAGGCTCCATCTCCCACATACCTGATAGTTTTCCAGTACTGCTGTCTGTTGGGTATACTGGTGTGGGTCTTGAATTCTCTTGTTTAAGCCATTCTACTTGGAATGAATATGTAACTACTTATTACAAAAAAGAAAGGGATCGAGTCTGTCGGATAAAGTGTAGTCCTCCTAGATGTGGATATAAATCCCTCTTTCAGTAGATTCTGAACTGCTTGCTTAAAGTGTAGCAGCTCCTAAAGGAATGATTGGAACAGAGTTTACACTGAAGTGTTCAATAGCCAGACAATAAGGACCCTCCTCTCCTCTCGTATGAAGTAGAGATCTGAACTTTATTCCCTTTCATTCTAGATGAGGGAGACCTGACTGAGGCTGTTCAAAAGTTGAGAATACTAACATTTCTTGATTATGTTTTTGTAAGGGACCTCTGTGGTTTAGGTATGCTCAAAACATGTTTGGGGGTTTGGCCCTGTTACCCAAAAGAAGGTGGAGGAATAGAGGGGTCCTAGTTTAAAAACCTTTCTGTGAGGCTTTTTTAGAGCTGCTCATTAGCAATAGGGTGGCATCAGTCTTATTAGCCACTTCGTAAGAGTTACAAATGGGATTCCTTTCACTTTTTCAACATTTGCAATACGTAGGTATCTACATCTGAGTTAGTCACTGTAGCTTCCTTTTTAGAGTCAAGTGAGTCTCAATTATTTCTGTCACCTTCAGCATGAGGTTTAGAAGTTAAGTGATTACATTAAGAGTTCAAGGATTCAGCATTCTCTGAATCAGGAACTCTAGGGTATGAGTCAGTGCCGTAGGCTCAGAATCTTTTAAGGTTGATTTGGAAAGTATGCTATAGTTCTGATGTCTCCTGAGTACTCCTCTTTATTTCTTTCAAATATAAAAACTGTGGAGAGTGTTCAGGAAGGCTGAGCTAGGCGAGTAAAGCTGATTTCTCCAGGAACGCACTGTAATATGTGTGTTATTCACAGTCACTTATTTGTGCTTCAGCTCTGCATCTTTCTTTCTCTGGGCATCTTTAGGAATATGCCCATTCATTCTTTAAATCATATCCCCTCTACCTATTCCAAGTTAGTTATTCCAGTAGTTGCTCAGATACTATGTCAGTCACCTGAGTATTTTGAGAGCTAATTTTTACCAGATCTGTCTGATTTGAAAACAGCTGATTTGTCAGTCATCCCTGACTTCCTTTTTTCTATTCTAATTTGACATCCTAACCTGATGTTGCTTGTAGCAGCTCTAATTACAGTTTTAGTTGTTCTTAATAAAAGCTGTAATAGAGTTTCCTCTTTAACAGGGTCATCTGTCAGAAGCTTGGTCCCGTGTGACAAAGAATGCTATTGCTGAAACCATCATAGCTCTGACCAAAATGGAAGAAGAATACAGATCACCAGTGAGGTGCATTGCAACAACCAGAGTAAGAACTTTACTAAACTTAACATTCATTTATTGTAAACATGCAGTAGGAGCCCGTCTGAGAGCCTTCCTATATTTTAGAAAAAACATCCTTATACATGTTGTTTCAGGAAACAATGCATACAGAACACAGTTTATATTCTCCAAATCTACCTGTGTGCATAATGGACAGGTATCCTAACTAAGGCAATCACTGTTTGTCCTAATAAAAGTCTTGCTTTTTCTGTGTCACAGCAGATTGAGTTTTCTTCTTTGTGGCAGAAATACACCAGTACAAACTGAATTCTGGTTAAATATGCATCTTGGGTACCTCCCAAATAATGAAGAATAAGTGTTATGCTTATACATTTGGGTTTTTATCCTTGAGGTAATTCTGCTTTAAGTTTGTGATACTTGCCTTTTACTAAATTTATGAGTCCATCTGTGTGGAAAATTGCACAATATGTATCAGCTGTCTTTTTCCAGCTCTGTACACTAAGTGGTTTGACTTCTAGGTCATCAGCTGCCACATCTCAAGGCTATTATGAAAACACTCAGTAACAAACATTCTCTAGGACAATTAAGCTAAGCTTCACCTGTGTTTTAGTCTCAAAATGAAAAATCATTTGCTGAGCTCTTTATTATTTACTGGGGGTGGGTTTTTTTCTTTGTCTTTACTACTTCCATGAATCTTTTATAGAAACTGGTACTGACTTAACCTTAATAGACTGCTTGAAATACCATGAAAAGCATACTTGTAAATTATGGTATTCCTACTATCTTAGGGATTTTGGCTTCTCAAGTGTAATAACTACATGTAAAAGAAGAGGTTTGCAGTGATTACGAGCATTTGACACTCATGTTGTTTTCGATCTTGAAAGGCTTTGCCAGTTGTCCTTTTCATCCCCTTACTCATATATTCTCTGCTTTTTGGAAGACACTGTCTCAGAGTACCACCTGCTCCTGCTGTCACCATGTTAGTTTAATCAGGTCTTAGAGGACCCCTGAATGTCAACCTAGCTCTCCTTGTGCATGAACTTATTTCTGTCATAGAGATGTGTTTTTTGGAGGGGAGTCTAATAGAGTTTTTTCAACAAAAGCCATTTTGTTCAGATCAAACCTTTGATGAAAAACTATTGCACAATGCAGCTGTCAAGTGCATTTCAGTTTGGGTTGCAGGCCTACCAACAAATTATCCTCATGCAGCTCATCTCTTTAGGATTTCACTGTCGTCAATGGAGAGGAAGAGAGAAAAGCTTCCTCTGACGAACACTTAGCTCAGAACCCTTTTCTAGGTAATCTCAAATGCTCTATGCAGCGAGGAGAGAATATAGGGAAACCAATTTCATTGAGCTAAAGTTTTGTTGGTTTGGGTTGGGTTTTTTTTTTTTTTTTTAATTAGTCTGTGTCCTTGGATTTCTTCTTCTCGCCCAAAGCCTGCAATGTTTGGGAGTGATACGCAAGTCTGTATTTGCCATATTTCTCTATAATGTACTCTGGTTGATCTTGCTTCACTGTTTCTCTCTTGTGTGCTAACTACTGTATTTATAATCATAAAGTGGCATACATGAAAGAAACAAGGTAGTTCCCAAAAGTTCAGTGGTTTTATTGTGTTCTTGACTTCATTTGGAAATTAAAAAACTTGCATTTTATGAGCAGGCTTCAGCTAACGATGGTACAGTTTGCAGGTAACAGTGACATTCTTATCTGCCAAAGTTCATATTTTTAGTGTTTGGGATTTTTTTTTTTAATAGTATTCCTAAAACGTTTAATTCTGCTTTGCCTTTCAATAGCTATGGCTGGCCTTAGCATCCCTCTGTGTACTTGACCAAGATCATGTTGATAGACTGTCCTCAGGAAGATGGATGGGAAAGGACGGACAACAGAAACAGATGGTGAGACTGAAAATCATACCTTATTGTGTTTGTTTTGATTTATTCAGTAGTCAAAGAATTTAGAATAATGATAGGGAAAGGTAGACTTGGCCTAACCTTATTTCCTCCCTTTCGTCCCTAATGGAGATTGTACATACGTGTTGGCAGTAGTTGTGTTCTAGACAAGCACTGCTTGGAAAACAAAAATTCCAACTTAAAACAGTAAGGTAGCAATTCTGCTGGTATTCAGGATGGAGCAAGGCCTTCCTAACACCTGTAGGATGGATTTTTGAGACTAGATTGACTCAGTTAATACGACACCCTCTATCAGAGCTTTTTTTCTATCTGCGTCTCTGTCACATAATAAAGTCAATTCTTTTGTGTGCCTCAATAACACCTTCTCTG